TGGTCTCACTCAAGATGGTGGCTCCTGGAGCAGCCGAGCGTCCCGGACTAGAAAGCAATAGATTTCTTGCTTCTACCACAAATTCCCCCAGCTATGAGCCTTCTAACCTTCTAAATATTCCTTTATATGTGGTTCAAAGTTCTGGGACCAGCCCCTGAGCCTGCTTGGTCAGGTATTCTGTGTTGTTGTTGTTGGCGGAGCTCCTTTACTGCACTTCCACCCGATCCGCCATCTTGTTTGTTCTCTCCATGTACTTTTTAAAGTCCTTTATATACAGAGGAATTTATCTCTAGAGAATAAAATGTATCTTCTAAAAGTATACTCCTTTGGATTCCTTCCTATTTAATTGAAATTTTTACTTTGTAAGTATCCAGCTTTTTGCTCGATTGATGGGCAGAGCATAAGAGCAACCCTTTATATGAGGTGGGGGAAATTTTGTCCTCTTTTGTTAGAGCCAGATTCTTCACTCATTGGAAGAGTAAATATGAACTGTCCCAGAAAAAGTCGTTATACTTGAAGTGATTCCTTCCTTTCTACATGTGACAGGCCACAGAAGTTGTACAGCTTGAGCCCCCTGAGCTGCTTTTCCTGCTGGACGATCTCTCCCAAAAGCTGGAGAATATGCTGACACCTGCTGCCAAGAGAGTCCCGTTCTTCAAGGTTAGTATGGACAGACGCAGGACCTGGGACTAATGGATCTTGGTGGTGAATAATTGTCTCTTTCTCAGCATTGTGACTGAGTCACTGGATAGCATGGTGGTAGCACCATGGCCAGACCATATTCAGCTTGCTTTAGAAAGGAACTTGGAAACATAGAAAACAAAAAGTTACCCAGCACAGGAAATTCATCATGTTCCTGAATCATATTTTTTCTTCTGTTTGCCAAACTAAGCCTGTGTCCAAGCCTCAGTTTAATAGTTGGCTTTCGTAAGATCAGAAGATCAAATGTTCATACGATGAACATTTATGCTCATGTTGTTGTTGTTATTGTTAGGTGCCACCGATTTGGCTCTGACTCATAGCAACCCTGTGCACAACACAGTGAAACTCTCCCAGTCCTGTACCAGTTTTACAGTTGTTGCTATACTTGAGCCCATTGCTGCTGCCGCCGAAGTCCATTCATCTCATTAAGGGTCTTCCTCTTTTTCACGGACTCTCCACTTTACCAAGCATATGTCCTTCTCCAGGGACTGGTCCCTCCTGATAACATGTCCAAAGTGTGAGAGACAAAGTCTTTCCATCTCGGCTTCTATAAAGCATTCTGGCTTTGTTTGTTCTTCTGACAGTCATGGTATTTTTAATAAATTCTTATCTAACACCATAACTCAAATGTATCAGTTATTCTACAGTCTTCCTTTACATGCAATTGAGGTTATTGGAAATACTGCGGCTTGGGTCAGACGTACCTTAGTCCTCAAAGTGATACTATGTGCACATATCTAATAAACCCATTGGATGATGCAAACAACAAAAGGTGGAAATGAAGTGTAAACATGTAAAGATGAGTATATCCAGTTGGCACTGTAGGATCAGCGCTGAACTACGAACTACAAGACTGTCAGTTCAAAACCACCAGCTGCTCCTTGGAAGCCCTATACAGGGTCTCTATGTGTTGGAACCAACTCCAGGGCACTTAACATACACAGCATATCCAGTTACTTGATTAATTCTTTGTATTATTTCCTCTAGTGTTGTCAACCTAAATTCTGGTTTCATGTGCCCTTTATCTCATTGGTTATTGTAGGTCTAAACTCATTCTTCAAGAAAACACTAGACTGACATCTGTTAGAAATTAAAACAAAAATTTTATTGAAAGAATAATCTCATTTTGCAAAGTAGGTTTATGTGGCATCCTACAGGAAACTGGTGTGTGCCCTGGCTTGTAGGAGAAGCAGTGAGTTTTTATTTGGTGGAGTAGACAAAGGTTCACATCAAAGAGAAGTGCAGGGGTAGGGAAGAATGTTTACAAAACTTTATCAAATTTCAAACCTTCTTAACATCAATTCCTTATCTCCTGATACAACCTGACTAAGACAATATTTCTAAAACATACTGTAAATATTTTCAAGTGGGGGTCTTGTGATTGATTGTCGACCGCATCACTTCTAGTTGCTTTCCTTGATGCATAAAAGCCAACTATTTATTAGGTTCAAGAAGAAGTGAAAGTTGATTTAACTCTAATCTGAAGCCTTGAAATGCAAGCATCACCCATGTGGCTAAGAAGGAGGAGAATGACATTAACTGTCTCAGAGTGCTTAAGATACCAAATTTAATTTTGCAAGTTAAAACTTGAGTCTCTGCATTCTCAGTGTTACAGTCAAGACTTTAATAGCTGTGATCTGTCTGTAGCTCTAGTTACAAATTTGCAAAGAAAACTAGTAGAAATACTATGAAAAATTCTCCACAAGTGAACATTTAATTTAGGAGTCAAGATGAAGAACAAAGGTTAGGTACACATACACACAGAGAGCGAGAACTAGCTCAACATCTTGGCTATAATATTATTTATAGCTCCTAACTGCATTTAACATTATTAGTTCTAGTTCCTAACTTTTTGCTCATTTTAAGATATGTTTGCTGAGGCCAGCTGCATAATGATCCTTTATAAGCACTAAGCAATTCTTTATCTTGGTTACCATTTGTCTTTTTTTTAACAGTAAAACTTCAACAGAAAGACTGAATGGTTTCCATTAGAAAGGTTGAAATGAAAATCTTAGCTTAATTTAAAATGGAGTTTTGATTTAAGTCTGAAGTCACCCTTGTATTTAGATATGCCAGCACCTAGTTTTTTTTCTTAAGGTTCACCCCCACACTTCTCAATCCAATCTTGTTCTTCTACAAGAACTAATGTCTCTATTATTTGAAGATGGAGCAGGATTTCTTATCCCTCTATCAGAATATGTAGTCCTTAGGCAAGCAACTCATTTATCTCATTCACTCCTGCCTACTGACGTAGGTTTGACTAAATTCCATAATGAACTCTTAACTCAGAAGCTACCCAGTGGTTCCTTCTCCAGTAACTCTGAATTTGTTGTAGACTAAAGGAAGCTGGAATATTGGATTCTCTCATCTCCATCAGAAATCTGCCCAAGAAATTGCTCACTGTGTTATTCAACTGCTGACCCCCATGTGTAATCATCTGGAGAACATTCACAACTATTTTCAGGTCAGAATCCTTTTCTATGGTCATTACAGAGACTCGGAAATAACTAAGTGAAGAAGAGATTTCATTTTTAACTGACAGAAATTGAAGGTAAAATGAGGGCACTTGCTGAAACAGCCATCTTAAAAGCATTTTTCCCTTTTAGTGCTTAGCTGGTGAGGATGCTGGTGTAGTTGATGGACCAGGAACAAAAGTTCAGGAGTACCAGATAATGTCTTCCTGCTATCAGAGGCTATTGCAAATTTTCTATGGGCTATTTGCATGGTGAGTATGTAGGAAGTAGAGTAAGCATAAGTTAATAACTATATATTTGCTTTTACTTTATGGTCAGTCACCAAAACCCAAACACTATGTGAATAAGGTGCTTTATTCTTTTTGGAGTGTTTTTGTCTGTATTGTTTCATCTGGTCTTTCACCCTGTGAAACGAATGGAGCTGGTATTCTTAGCCCGTGTGACAGCATTTAGCTGACCTATAACAGATCTGGCCTTTTGATTCTTAGCCCCATTTGCTGTAGCAAGTTCTCTATAATAACACTTGGGGAGACTGTGACTTTAAAACTTGTTACTAATCAAGTTGTAAATAAATTCCAGATTATGTGGTAAAGAGCTCTTTGGGATATTTAGCGGTTTCATCAAGTCCTTGAATGTTTGGCCTATAAGGGAATGGATTGGAAGACACAGCCTGGGTGAAAGTAGACGTGAGGGAGATGTCTGTCCTAACTGCTCAGGTTCCTTAGAGCTAGGTCCTGGCCTCCGTTCTTACTCTGCAGACTTCCTGCATAATCTTGCTCAAGCTTAACTTTATGCTAAACTCTTATCTTCAGAGGTGCAAGTCTTATAGCCAACTACCTACTCAACACCCCTTTCAGACGTGTCATGGACACCTCGGATTCATCACCACTCCTCCGGTTTTCCCTGGCTCTGTAAATGGCACGACAGTTGTCTCAGCCAGAAATCTAGGACTTATTTTTTTGTCTCCCTCCCTCTACTTTGCACCCTTTCTCTCTCATACATGCACATTCAACTTCCTGATCCTGTTGATTTTCTCTTCTAGATAACATTTAAATAACCATCTATTCCTCTCCTTTCCCATTGCTCCCAGACTCCCATCTCTCACCTAGACCTGATTAGTTTCATCATTGGTCTCCCTGTTCCCCTGTCGTCCCCTCCCTCAGTCCACTCTTCACACTACAATTGAGTAATCTTTCCAACACAAACCCAATCTTATCCTTGCCTAACTTTTTTCAATTGCCCTTCAATTTTTCTTGAGTTCAAACTTCTGTCCATAGCTTCTGAAGCCTTCTGTTATCTGACCTTTGCTCTTCCACTCTTTGTCTTATACTCTGTCCTCCAGCCATTTTTGCTTAATTTCAGTACTCTATATACCAGCTAATTGCAAGGCCAGTAGTTCAAATCTACCAGCTGCTCCAGGGGAAAAAGATGAGGCTTTCTGCTCCCGTGAAAATTTTACCTCCTCAGAAATCCTATACAGGGTCAGTATGAGTCGTATCTAACTTCACAGCATACCACCACCACCACCACCACCACCATATCGCTTTGCCTGAAAGGCTTCACACATACTCATCCTTCTACTTGAAAGATTCCCTACCCTTATGAACCCCTGGTGTTTTCTAACTCATCCTTGAGATGTGAACTTAAACTTGATTTCCTCAAAGTTATCTTCTCTGACTTTTAGACCTGGTAAGCTTCATTCCTGTCTCTCTTCTAACTGAATTATTTGTTCATCTGTCTGCGGAACTGTGCACTCCCTTAGAGCAGGGACCAGCCATTGCTGTTTCTTCCACTTAAAAACAATGCCTGGCAAATGAGTTGAATAGACATTCCATAAAAGGAGATATAAAGATGGCAAATAAACACATGAAAAGATGTTGAACATTACTAATTATTAAGGAAATTAAAACTACAACGAGGTTGCAGAACACACCCATGAGAATGGCAAAATTCAAGCGATTTGCTGTGCCAAGTTTTGGTGAGGTATGTAGAAATTTAGCAATTTGACAAAATTTCCCCTGTACCGAAATACTATTTCTGGTTTTTGTTTGTTAGTTTTCGGGAGATGACTGGGACTAATCTGTAAAACATAGTTAATAAAGAAGACCCTTTTCCCTTGAAAATAAATCTCTGAGGGCTCTTAGGTCCTTAACGGAGAGATTGTTTGACTCTAGTCTGATACTCAGAGCTTTGAAAGATTATGGCACTTGAGTGCTTTCATTTGCTTCTTTTTCCTCTGTTGACTTGTTGGTGGTACAAACTAGAAGTCAGGATCCTCAAATTCTGTCTAAGCAAATGTCCCTGTTAGATTTCTTTATTTTGTGTGATTGGAGTGAAGGTTTACAGAGCAGATCACCTATCATCTGTGCATTCAGTAAATCATGCACATCGTTTTATCTCAGTGACTACAATCTCCTCAAAGTAGCACCACTTGTCCCACTTCCTCCTGGTGTTTCTTGTTTCCATTTGTCTTTGTTGATCATCCCTTGTGAACTTTGTCCTTGGGTAAAAGCTGCCCTTTTGATCCTGAATGATTGGCCATTCTATGGTTTATATACCTCACTAGTATTGTTGTCCCCTTGTATACCTACCACTTGGCTGAAAACTAAGCCACAGGAATGAGTTCAGTTTCAGATCTGAAGAGTGACCAGATGCCATAGTCTCAGGTTCTACCAGTTTCTTGCTGAACAATAAGCCTGGTCTTTTTTGGGATTTTGAGCTCCATGTTTTCGCCCACTCTCTCTAGGACCTTCTGTGTGGGCCCTCTCAGAGCAGTTGGTAGTGGTAGCCAGGCACCATCTAGTTCTGGTCTTAACGTCGTGGAGACTGATGTTCGCGTGGCCCATGAGTCCATCGACATCTTCAATTTTCATCACTTTTTTTCCCTCCAGTACCTTAGCTGGCCACTTATGAGCTTTTAAGATCCCAGTCACTACCCACCAAAGTAGGATGTAGAACACTGTATTTGTGGATTATGTGTTGCCAATTGACCTTAATGTTGCCTAAGACTGTGATCCTCAGCTCCCATGTACTGAGACTCATTCCCTCACAGTGTTTGGTAATGTTGATGATGTTTTCATAATTTTGCCCCCTGTATGCTCCACCTTGTGTGGCACTGTGGGTTAATGCGTCAGACTGCAAAGCCATTTGAACTGCAAGGTCGGCAGTTCAAGCTCACCAGCTACTCCTCGGAAACCCTATACAGGGTCACTATGGGTTGAAATCTACTCAATGGCACTTAACAACAACAACAATGCTCCACCACATTCATGGATAGGTAAACTAAACCATCTTCCTTTAACTTTCCCTTAGGCAGGGATTTTTTCAACCTGAAAATCGTAACTTACTATACACAGCCCTTGAGGTGCTTGCTAGACGTTTGAAGCAGGGAGATCATGACCAGCCCTTGGAGGAACTGCTCAGGTGGGTCAGATGACACCCCCGAGGGTTGTCCCCCTGCTCTGCCCTGACATTCTCCATGTAAACAGAGTTCTCCAGCAGGATGCTTGCAAGAAATTTGCTACTAAAGTCCCTGAAAGTGGGGAGGACCCTGATGGGTATCAGACTACTAAAGAGAGCATGAGCAACTCATAGCGATTTAGACATCACTGTAATACTTGTGGTGCTAGTGTTGGTTTGTTTTTTTCTTGTCTCCTTACAGCCAGAGCTTCCATTACTTGCAGAATTTCCATCACAGCATTCCCAGTTTTCAGTGTGCTCTTTATCTCATCAGACTTTTGATGGTCATTTCGAAGAAATCTACAGCTGTTACTCAAAAAAAAGACAAAATTGGTGATGGGCCCAGATCCTCCTTCTTTTCCTGAATATGATTAATAGTTTAAGCTTATAAATATGCAGTTTCCTAGGACCTTGTGCATGTTTACATGTCAATCTCCACATAACATTGGACATGTCCTCTTGCTGTCAAGGAGGATTGTAACTGATCATTTCTGCTCATTTTATTCAGTCTGAGTTTGGTTAGCTCAGTTGAGACATCTGACAAAAAGAGACATAAGCTATCAGGTTTAATAAATTGAGAGTAAAAAGAGAATTCAGATCAAGTGTGAAGGCAGGCCTGGCTCCTTCCCTGGCCCTTCTCTTTGATCATCTTTTGTTAACCATTTGGGATGCATCTCAGGAGTTACACATGTTAGTTGGCAATACAAACAGAAAACAAGAAAAAAAAAATGCAAACCAAACTTCATAGTTTCCTATTGACTGAATAGGAGGGGCTTGATTTGCATTTGTGAGGTGGCCACTGTTTATTAGTCTGCCGTGGGGGGGGGGGGGGTGGGAACAAGAGTGCCCCACTGCATTCCTACTCTTGTGTGTCTGAGCATCTGAGGCAGACAGCTGTATTTCTGACACAGGGCCAGTGCAGCAGAAGTGTACATGACAGCTCTTTTTGCCAATTGTTTGACCGGAAACTTTATAGCAAGTTTAAAAAAATAATCCTTTTGATCAATAATCATCCCCCAAAGCCTGAAAGACAACATTGACTTAGATTTTCCACACATGAGATGTCTTTGTCTGGTTTTTCCAACAGCTTCCATGGCCAAACAGTTTCTCTGCCGGGTGTGGCCAACTGGGGAGAAAGGGAAGAGCAGCAGCATCTTCAATGACCAGCTCCATGCTTTGCTCTGGTGAGGTGCCTGATTTAGTCCAAATATCCAGCTAGCCTTTTTACAGTCTGCCCCTGGCAGGGTCTCTCATCTGCTCAAACTGAGAAATGTGGTTCATTAGTGGGAACTGGAAAGCACTGATACAGTTTTAAAATGACCAGATCTGGAATATGTGGATCTTAAGATTTGTTCTGTTTTACACTGTTGGCTCATTCCTTCTTATTAAATCGAATCATAGAGGAAGTAGAGGAGTCTGTAGTCAGTGAATCCGAGATTTCTTGCCTGCCACAGCCAGTCCATGCCTATCCCTTCCAATGTGTTTAACTGTATTTTCAGCTTAGACATAATTCACTTTACCTCCTGGCTACATTTGGAATCCCTGATATTTCATTAAAAATAAATGCCAAGAATTGTTTTAACACTTATTGCATGAGAACATCTCAAGAAGGAAATCTTGATTTAGAAGTTTCTATTAAATGTTTGTCCTCCTCTGGATCTCCATACAGCATCTACCTGGAGCACACAGACAGTGTGCTGAAGGCCATTGAGGAGATTGCTGGTGTTGGTGTCCCAGAACTGATCAACTCTCCCAAAGATGCATCTTCTGCCACGTTTCCTACACTGACCAGGTGAGAGAGGTTTCTCCTTAACGTAGGACCACACTGTCTTGTGTGCAGAGTTTCCAAATATCACATTACTTCTCATTGATTTCTGGTGTTTTCTGCAGAATGCCATTAAGTCTCCCCATGCAACACACACTGAGTACCTACTGTGCGTTCTTTCCCCAGGATTCTTAGCCAATCCACATAGAGGACCTTGCTGAGGAATGAGTTTTCAGTAATTGACAGTCTTCAAAGACAATGAAAGTCACCAAACTCCCACTAGCACTTTCATCCTTTAAATTTGAGACTATTTTTCCTACAGTCAGATTACTTTTAGAAAGACAAGGTGATTGCTGAATCTGATCATATACTGCTGCATGTCTCTCGCTGGGTTTTGTGTTTCATCATTGACTTTCAGTAGTTCTCTTTCAGTCACATAGCCTTTACCATTTACAAAACACTTTCAGATTCTTTACCTCATTTGAGCCTTTCAGTGATTCTGTGAGGGTAGCTATCATTGCCTCTATGTTACTGATAAGAAAAATGAAGATCAATAAAATAAAATAATCCTGGAATAAGGACCCATTGGTCTTTCCACCCACCTTGTCTTCATAAAGTTTATTTCATTGGGTCATAGACAATCTTCATGGACTCAGTTCTGAATCCTTTCTACTTCCCCATCCTCTTGCTAGTGGAAGTGCATTCCGGGATGTGGGAAGGAAATTGTGTTTGGTTCCCTGGCTTCTTCCCAGGAAGTTATTTCTCATCATTTTTCCATTGTATGTCCCCTTTACCAGGCATTCATTTGTCATTTTCTTCCGTGTGATGATGGCTGAACTAGAGAAGACAGTGAAAGGTCTTCAGGCTGGCACAGCAGCAGACCCACAGCAGGTGGGCCCAATACTCCCATCCCCACATCTGCAGTACTTGGAAGCTACTGATTTTTCTGTATCTTAGGCCCAGGGTTTCTTGTAAGCTATGTCTTCTGAGCTGCTGAGATCCAGGATATTTTTCTACAGTCCATGGTTGAATTTCCTTTCCCGCTAACTGGAGATGAGGATTAGGCTCTATTTTTCCTGCCCAGGAAAATCTTGGATGCCTCCATGGGCCTTTAGTTCTGGAAATAATATCTTTGATTGCAGCCTCCTGTGCCCAGCATGTAGCCTTGTGAGCTGGCATGAGATGAGCCAGGCTGTGGTGTTGGGCGTTGGCAACTTGCTAATCAAATTGAGCCCAACTGCTGAGAGCAAGGACTGATGTAGGGGACTCATGGCTAGTAGATATGTTGAAGAGGCCTTTCCTAACTTGGAAACCTTCCTAGAAGGTCTTCCCTCTATAATATATCCTGATGTTCTCACATTTGTGCAGTCCACAGAATCTGCCTATAGGAAGGTTCTGGACACCACATCTCTTTTTGAGGGTGATAACTTAGGTCTTTGAATTGCTCTGTGTATTAGTAGGAAGTACAACAGGGAAGTTCTGGGCTGTGATTCAGGTACCTGTATATTTGGCTGCCCCTAGATTCACGAGGAGAAGCTCCTTTACTGGAACATGGCTGTGCGAGACTTTAGTATCCTCCTCAACCTGATAAAGGTGAGTCTGGAGGCCCGGTGACCCACCTCACTGACTTGCTACAGAAACCAAAGGACCTGGGTTTCAAAATGGACTCTTCCTCCTCTCTTACCTTTCCTCGCAGACTTGATTTCCCCATCTTTTTCCCTTGTCCCTTCTCATCCTGGATAACCACTTCTTATTGCCCTAGACAGTATCTTTCTTCTTCTCTTCCTCCCTCCCTCCTGCATGGGCTATGTACTGAGTACTTAATGTCTCCCTGCACCTGTCACATCCTTTCACCTTGCCTTGGGTCCTCTGATCTCCACACATGCCCTGCTGGCTCATCCTTTATTTCTCAAGCAGTGTCCTCTCACCCGCACCATAATTTTGCTCAGCCCTCCTCCCAGCCTAGATAGTCTTTCTTCCTCCTTCCCACCCCTCGTAACCCACCCATTCTCAAGGCTTCAGATCAAGTTTTTAGACCTCCATAATGCCATCTTTTCAAAATTCCCAGTTGGAATCCATTTCTGGTTCCTCTTTGCTCTCTTCGTCCTTTTCTTCAACGTCAGTTATGGGCTTAACTTTATTGCATACTGTAATTAATTTAACATCTCTTTCCTCCACCAGCTTTAACTTCCTTAAGAACTTTTTCTTTAGCGATCTCTATAGAGTCTAGTCCGTAAGAGAAAAATGAGGCTTTCTGATCCCACAAAAAGATTTAAAGCCACAGAAACCCTATGCAGGGTTGCTCTGAGTGAAAGCTTACCCAATAGCACTTAACAACAAGAGCACACAGAGCCCTGCTTTACAAATGGGAAAACCCCACCAAAAGCCACTGCCATTGAGTCGATTCCAACTGATAGCGACCCACAGGGCAGAGTAGAACTGCTCACAAGGGTTTTCTTTATGGAAGCAGAAAGCCTCATCTTTCTCCTACAGAGAAGCTAGTGGGTTTGAACCAATGACCTTGTGGCTAACAGCCAAAGCTTAACCCGTGATGTTATCAAGGCTCCAGGAAAGAGGGTTGTTGCTGTTGTTGTTAAGTGGCGTCGAGTCGATTCCGACCCATAGCGACCCTGTATAGGGTTTCCAAGGAGCAGCTGGTGAAATTAAACTGCCAACCTTGCAGTTCAAATGGCTTTTCGGTCTAGCTCATTCACCCACAGTGCCACACCAGGACTCCAAGAAAAAATAAGGTGCTCAAAAGAAACAGACCTCACTTTGGTTTCTTATTTTCACTTTTCCAGGTATTTGACAGTCGTCCCGTTCTACACGTGTGTTTGAAGGTGAGAGGTTTTAGTGTTTTTCCTGTGGGTTTTTGGAGGAGAGGGCCTCAGTGAGATGAACTACTCAAGAAGCCTGCCCATGAACCAGAATCTCCAGGATCAGTGCTAACAGGCAGTGACTTGGGAAGGCAGTGGATACACTTTCCCCACACTCGCTGTATGGCTGGAGAAGCCAATATCCCAATGGTTCCAATTCATAGAGACCCTGTAAAGGGATTCCAAGGAGCAGCTGGTAGTTTTGAACTGCCAACCTTATGAGTAGCTGTGCAGTACTTAGCTTACAGCGCCACACCAGGGCTCCTAGAAACTCTTGGTCAGAGTCTTAGAACTCAGAAGTGACTTCAGGGCAGTGGGAGTGGGAACAGTAGTCACCCTCCCTACTTCTGTTTCCTGTGCAACAGGAAAGAAAGGGAGGGAGGGAGTCCTTTTTTCCCCCCTTTAATCTGGGAGCGTAGTGGTTCCAAATTGGGCTGTGAATCACAAAGTCTGCAGTTTGAAACTACCAGCTGTTATATATATGTTTATATGTGTACATAAATATATATGTGTGTGTGTGTGTGTGTGTGTGTGTATATGATCCAAAGCTCTGACAGTATAGTGGTTATAATATGAGTTGGGCTGCTAATCTCAAGCGTAATGGTTACAAGTCAGGCTGCTAACCTCAAGGTCAGCAGTTTGAAACTACCAGCAATTCTGCAGGAGAATTATGAGACTTCCTGCTCTCATAAAGATTTACAGCCTCAGAAATCCTGTACAGGGTCACTATGAGTCAGTACCGACTCCATGACACACCACCACCACCATATGGAATCCAGGTGTGGCGCTGTGGGTTAATGAGCCTGACTGCAAGGTCAGTTTGAATCGCAAGGTTAATGGTTCAAGCTCATCAGCTGCTCCTCAGAAACCCTATACAGGGGTTCACTATGAGTTGGAACCGACTCAACGGCACCTCACAGAAACAACACACACATATATATGTTGTTGCTAAGTGCAGTCCAAGCTCCTCTCTCATGTGGCTAGCCTGGACTAGGCCTAGAAGTGATGGTAAATTCAATGGGTTATGAGCCAGGGAATGTTAGGAGAACATGATATTTTCCATTCCTGATGTTCCCTTCCAAAGGATGGCACCCATTGTGATTTCCTGGCCTCTGGTCCTCTTTATTCACTTCTCCCTGGTGCCAGTGTTAGAGGTGGGTGAGTTGAGAGTGATGAAGCTGATGGGTAAATTGCAGAATTAGCCATGTGCTTCTTCAGCTTTATTACTTTTCTCCTTTTGGGAGTAAGTTGCCCATTAGTGGTCCTTGGGGAGCTGGACCACTAACGTCTCTGCTTCTCTGTGCTCTCCTTCTCAAGGTGAGCAAGCTAGTCTCTGTGCGTTGTCTGTGTCTGCCCACTAGCTGTGGTGGGGGTGGGGGTGTGCCGTGGATTTGGTTCCGACTCATTACGACCCTGAGTAGGGTTTCCAAGGCTGTAAAATCTTCACGGGAGCAGGAAGTGTCATCTTTCTCTCGCGGAATGGCTGGTAGTTTTGGACTGCAGCCCGACTCGTAACCACTACGCTACCAGAGCTCCTTGCCCATTGGCTGTAAGTCTGCGTAATTCTGAAGCTTTAGTTAGCAAGATCCTGTGGTTTTTGCATTTAGCTGCATTATCCATATCAGTCTTTTAATCCCCAGCCCCCAATGTTTTTGTTATATTTTTTCTGTATAAAGATGAGTATAAAATCCCAGGCTAGGTGATGCTGTATGTCACAAGCAGGGGCCTTTCAGATGAAAGGCCTAAGTTAGAGGTAACCAAGTTGGTCACCATGCTTCTCTTCTTCAGTATGGGCATCTGTTTGTGGAAGCATTTCTGAAGCAATGTATGCCGCTTCTGGACTTCAGCTTCAGAAAACACCGGGTAAGATCTGAGAGCCAGAGTGCTGGGACATAGTTGCCCTGTAGATTTGTTCATGATGAATCCTGGGCTGGGGATGGGAAAGTCCCTTTTTCCCAGATTCTAGGCCCCAGTTCTCCTTGGGCATTTCTGGCCCACTTCAACTATAACTAGAGATGCTCAGTAGGACTTTATATTCCCTTGCAGGTTAGACTCAGACCCACTCTAGTTCAAACCTGCCTTCTTGTCAGGATCTGAGGGTGCTGGTTCCTTCTAGCTTGATTTTATTATGCTAATCACACACATGGCCTCATGGGGTCAGTGGATCCTTTGCATTTTCCTTTGTGCTTCTCTGTGTCTGCTCTAAAGAGTAATAGAAAACAGAATTCACATGTCTCATAAAACTCTTTGCTATTATAATAGAAAGTTGTGAGTGTTTGTTTACATAAGTGGGACCCAGGACTAGAGTAGTGAAATGGGAATGGAAACAGAATTGACCATTTCTTACACACATTTAGCTAGTTGGACTTTGCCAAACACTCTCAACTACTTGATTGGTCCCTTGTAATTGTGAGAAGTTGTAGATGGGGAGACTGAGGCATGATAACCTACTAAAATCTAGGTCTTGTCACTGTCAAATTTACACAAGGGATGAAAAGTGAACAGGTTGCGATTGGCTGTGAGCCAGCACTCCTCTTGTTTCAGGCCAAATTAAAATGCTTACCAGTATAATAGCTAGAACCTACTGAGTTTATCATCTTGGGAGCCCTCCGTAGGCTGCAGGGGAATCTTGCATCTAAAACAAAATGAGAACATTGCATTCAGTGTTATGAATTTTGTTCATAGGAAGATGTTCTCAGCTTACTGGAAACCTTCCAGTTGGACACTAGGCTGCTTCATCACCTGTGTGGACATTCCAAGGTAAGAGGTTAAAGCAGACACTTCCCCAGCCCTCCTATGTGATGAATCTGCAAGTGCTCTTGGGGGTTCTGGAGCTCCCATTACGTCGTCCTCCATGATTACCCTTCTTGAGCCTTTTGTCTCTTAAAAGGCAGTTGTTGAGAATGGTCAAATCTTCACTTGCTGTTTAAGACTGGAAATCATCTAGAGGGGAATTTCTGCATTTTAAATTTAACTCAAGCTCCACAGCCATATTTCCCCTAGAAACTCTTCTGTGGTAAGAGAGACAGAGTGTTGGTGGATTCATTAATCCTTCAAAGTACTCCGTGTAGGGGGACTACCATGTCATGAAGGACTGTTGGTGACAAGAGGTGGTTCTGAAAGCAGCCATCTTTAAAGCTATTGAGCTCTACTACTTGTCAAGGAATGAATCTGTCTTTTGTGAGAACAGTTCAGCACTGAAGAATTTATCTACTTGAAGCATTCTTATAGTTGTGAACCAGACACCTTCTGTCTGAAGGAACCCAGAGAATTCTACAGTCACTGGCAAACCAAGAGATTCTTCTCTCTGGTTCCTATTGCTCACTTCGTCACACCTTCTAAGTTTAGAAGGTACTGTAAAGAAGCTTCTTCTTAGCTAAGTAGGGCACCTCTGTTGCTTAGTAGCAGCATAAATATATTCAAGAATATCCTAGCTAAATGATTGGTCAATAAGAAGTTAGAGATGTTGTTCAATAAGAAGTTAGGTATGTCTGCAGGCTTTCGGAATTTTTGACTTGAAAGATAGCTGCCATTCTCTTTGGAGTACTCTACCAGACTACTACATATTGATGGAACATGTCTGTGGCAGGGTTCATGTGCCTATTGGATGCTCAGGACATCAGGAATTCAAGTTTCTGTGTAGGAAATGTGAAAAGTTGATGACCAACCCAGGTGGGTGCTTCTGTTCCCACTTAGATTCACCAGGACACAAGACTCACCAAGCATGTGCCTTTGCTCAAAAAGACCCTGGAGCTGTTGGTGTACAGAGTGGAAGCCATGCTCATCCTTAACAACTGCCAGGAGGCTTTCTGGCTGGGCAATCTCAAAAACCGAGACTTGCAGGTAAGCCTGGGACTCGGCCAGTGCTAAAGCCCCACAGCCATCCTTATTGAGCACATTGGAAGGAGGGAGGAAGCCCTACACCTACAGGAAGATGTTGTTCCGGCTCTTTAGTTTTGTCAATGTCCTGTGACATTTCTTATGGGCTCGGGCTCCACTCCTCATCCCATACAGCGAAGAGTCCAGAAGCATAGCATTGTTCAAGCAAGGTTTCACAAATAAGAGCCAAATCCCTACAAGCCTCTTTCCACAACCAGTGCCTTCAAGCCCTACAGAGGGTAGGTTCATAGGAGCATATTTTGTATATGAACTCATGGGTTGTTTTTTTTCTCCCTAGTGTTTTGTTTTTTAAGGATTTTCACTCTTCTTCCTGAGAAATTTCACAATGCCTCTGTTGGTCGTTGTGATGTAACTCAGTATTTAATTTTTGTCCTATTTCCTTTTTAGTCTGCTTGTCCCACTCAGGCCTTTTTTCTAGTTATGAACAGTTCAGGGCATGCTGTGGCCGTTTGGTTTTAAGTGGAAACTGTCTCTTGAAATTTCGAGGAGATCTGTGCACATGTGTAGTAGAACCCTCCAGGGTAGGAGTGGGGTGTCCACTCACTCAGGCAACCCCTCTAGTCACCAGAATGTAGGTGCGCAGACAGCGAGAGACCAATGAACAGATGCCAAAAAAGAATGTCCACACCTTTATCTTCATGATTCTGTCAGGCATCCGTGGCTGCTCTGATCTTTCCCCTGCATGATCTTACCCAAAATGGCAGCTCCGGGAGCAGCAGAGCGTCTTGAATTAGAAAGCAATGGATTTCTTTCTGCTTCTGCTACAAATTCCCCTAGCTGTAAGCCTTCCAACCTTCTAAATATTCTTTTATATGTAGTTCAGAGTTCTGGCACCATCCCCTGCGCCTGCTTGGTCCTGTATTCTGTGTTGTTGTTGATGGAGCTCCTTACTGCACTTCCACCCGATCCGCCATCTTGTTTGTTCTCCCTCCCTAGTGTTTTATCCCTGAAATTATTCCCTGGGAAAATTCAGCAAATGAATATTTCTATGGTTTTTCAATTATATGACTTTGGGCTGAAATGTTATGGTGCTTTTAACATTCTTTTGGAGCGATAGCATTTTCTCAAGGGAGTCCAAGCCTTCTCATTCACGCTTATAATATCTGGGTGTTTTAATCTGTCAGAGATGAAAAAAAAAAATAGTAGCACAGAGACTTAACTTCCTTTCTTCACATCATCATCATGAGGTAAATACCCTTGTTTCCATGAGAAATTTGGAGCTCAGAGAGGTTAAATAACTTGTCTATGGTTTTTAGCAAATAACTGGGCAGAGCCAGAATTCGAATCCTAACAGTACTGCTCCAAAGTTGTTGTTAAACCTCTTGTCCTCCAACCTCTTTATGCCCATTGTTGATGTTAAGTGGTGATTGGTATGTTGATGCTCGGATACCTTACTGGAGAAATTTTCAAACCATAGTCAACATTAACTCAAAAGTCTAGTATGATATTAGGATATAAATATAGACCTTTTCAAGAACTGCATATTGCATCAACGACGTGTACGTGCCTGGAACTGTGAGCTCCTCTAGATCCTGATCACAAGTCAGTGTCCATGTTTGACTATGTTACAATAACTAGAATATTCATTGTCCTGCTTCTAAACTAAGCCTTCCGACACCTATTTGCCTGTCCTGTTTCTATGGAAAGTAGTGATACTTCCCTTTCTCCCTTTTGAGGCCCTAAATGTTATCATTATAATCCACCATTTGTCTTGGTCTACATTTAGGGTGAAGAAATTATGTCCCAGAATTCCCAGGAGAGCACACCAGAAGACAGTGAGGAAGACACATCATCTCAGGTCTCTAAAAGCAAAGTAAAGGAGGTATCTGCAAAATTATTCTGAGTTGGTAGAGAGTGCATAATTTTCGCTGTTTGTGATCAAACACTTTTCTCCATTCCCTCTACAAAAAGCTTACATGCCTATATAAATTCTTTAGGGCCCAGAGAAAGCAGCCACACAATCGTGTAACAATCCTCAAGAATTTCAAGTTGTGTCACATTGTAGGCTATTTTCCTTAAAGTTATACCTTAGACCATTGTAGAGAATAGAAAAGGAGGGGTCAAAATATTCTGAGTGTTGAACATGTTTAAAATGAGAAATGCTTTAATCAAAGCACAGTCAAAAGCTCTTACCATCGAGGAATAAAACAGAGTAAGAGCTCTGGTAGCATGGTGGTTACAAATTGGGCTGCAAACCTTAAGGTCAGCAGTTTGAAACTACCTGCTGTTCTGCGGGAGAAAGATGAGGTTTTCTGCTCCTGTAAAGATTGACAGCCTCAGAAACCCTGTACAGGGTCGCTATGAATCGGAATCGACTCCACGGCACATAACCACCATCGCCAGGGGCTCCTTATTATTTTCTGGGATACAGATGCTTTTGGGATTTAAAGAAAGATATGTATACTTGGGACATTATGCTGCAATTTGGGTTGGCTATAGATACCAAGAACCTCAGACTTCAAGAGTCCCTGCTGTGGAGTCTCAATGAGCAATTTAAGGCTGATGCACAAAGATCATTTAGTAAGAAAAATTATTTTATTACATGGTCCTCTGCTTTATTTGTATAGTATACCTCCACTTTGTTTTCATAAAGAATTTAAGGCGACAATATCCTATGTTTATATTTGGTATTTTTTCCTAAACAAACCTCCCAGATCAAAATCACCGATCAGATAGAATTTATGCTGGATTCTTGTTGAGATACACAATATTTTTTCATTTGACAAACATTTCTTTCTACATTGACTACCTACTTTGTTCCTATGTCAAACGCATGCAGTAGAGCTAAAGCGATATGACTTAACACCATGCAGATTTGATTAGCTGCAGAATGATGTCATAAGTCAGTATCAGAATGGTCTCCCTCCATGGTCTTGTTAGAAGTCATGATGTCAAGGAGAGCAGGGGCGCCTCTGATTCATTTTACAAACAAATTGTTTCACAGTTATTACTGGTAATTAATTCCTTTGTTTATCTGTGAAAACAGGTCATCTGGAACAATGACCTAAATATTTAATTTAATCATCCTTTGCTCCTTAGGATGAAGGTGAAGCAAGTGATGGAGAAGAGCAAGACAATGATGGGAGTGATGATGACTCTGATTAGACCATCTCCTCCCTCTGCTCTGCTCCGCCAGCCTCCTCAGTGACTTATCAATGGAGCCTCTTCTCTGCCTAGCTAACTGGAAGCATCCTATTTTATCCCAAAGAGAAGCCCCGATTGAATCAACTGAATCGGGGGATTCATAGATTTTCTAGCACCACCAAAGACACTGGATTTCAGTGTAGCATTACTTTTTGGTTTGGTTGAGCTTGGCAGTGCTATGCTATAAAGTAGAAACTGCTTAGCTACATCTAGACTTTGGGAGCTAGTTTCAAACTTCTTGATTTTAGAATTTAAGCTCATACCAATTCTGCAAATAAATTACCTTTAAATTTCTGTTTCTGCTACTTCCTCATTCCTTCTACTGGATTTCCTTCATCATTCAGGGACTAGATGGGACTGAGCTGGAGTTTGTGCAGAGAAATAATGTAGACCAGTACCAACACAGGAGCCCTGGCAGTGCTGTAGGGTAAACACTGGACTGCTAATTGCAAAGTCACACTCACCAGCCACTCTGGGAGAAAGATGAGATTTCTGCTCCTGTCAACAGTTAAAAATTTACAATCTTAGAAATCCTATAGAGGTTCGCTATGAGTCAGAATCAACTCAATGGCAGTGAGTTTGGTTTGCTTAGAGTACCAACACATGACTTGTGCATAGTAAAATCATATGCTTCCTATTGTGTCATCTTTGAAATAAGAAGACCATTGTGATGGATCTGGAAGAGTTACTTGAATTTATCAATATCCAGAAAAAGTCAACAAGGAATGTTGGCTGCTTAGTTTGTGTTTTCATTATTGTGTTAACATAAGACAAGGAAAAAAGGCAGCGGCGAGCTCATGTTGACTTTGTGTGTGTATATACATATAAAGTTTATTTGATTTCCACATTGTTCTGAATTATGCCTGTAATCTGTAGTAATAAGAATGTTATACAATTACTTGTAGTTTATTAGAAATAAAACAGTAGGAGTATATTTCAACTACTAGGGGGAACTCCCTCTTCTGCTAAAAGCCCAGTTATAGTACTGTTAACAAGTTCTTTCTTGCCAAACTATAAATATTATTAAATATTTATTAATATTTCTAACCAAATTTATATGATCCAGTAGTGTTAAGGTATGTGTGGCTTGTTAGGTGTTTCTTTTCCTGGTTGGAGTAGGTATTTCATTTCTATTTTTTTAAAAAATAATCCTTTTTTGACCGCTTTATCCTTTGGTACATGGAAACCGTATGTCCCCTCTTCCCTAATACCCCTTTTTTTGGCTCAGTTGATTGTGTTCTTAGGGGTTTTAAGTGAAGTCACATTAGACCCATTGTTTGTGTGGTTTTTAATGGCTCTTTATCACATGTATACATCAGTGCTTGTTTGACTCTTTTCAACGGTTGTTCAGCTTTACAAGGGAAATTTTCTTGCTCTGTGTCACTGGCCCTTTTTCGGATGGAAGGAAGACAGGGAAGGGGCTTCTGAATTGTCAAGATTGCTGGGGTGATGTCACAGTTTTGTTCACATGGACAGATTCTGTAAGCTGCAGGCACATACCAAAGGCCATGGTTTGAGACCTGGGAATCCGGTGAAGGAAGACCTTTTACTTGGAGTGTTGCAAGGCGAAAGTACACTTCTTATATGTTGCATACAACAGGAGGATAGAGCGCAGCATCTGTTTGCACATAGTCACTGTCATCTGAATCTGAGGTTCCTTAAGTCCAGTGGGCCACTGGTGCTCCCTGCTGATGATTTTGCAAAAGGCTGATTTGTCTGAAACTCTGAAGGTCCCAGTCCACTTTGGTGGCTGAGCCGTGATGACCCTGCCAAAGACAGAATCTACCCCATTGAGTCGGACTGGCTGGGGCTTTCTGACGAGCCCTTTCTTGTTGTTAATGGCCCGGAGTTCTGACGTGTGGCATGGTAACTTGGGACTCACTCCAGTTTCCAGAAATGGGCTGTCTAAGACTAAAGTGACCTCTTGAAAGCACAGCTGAACTTCAAGGTCAGAAGGGGTGTGTAGGAAGCAGGGGGAGGCCCTAAAGGGGTGTTTGGAAGAAGGTGTAGGTGTTGTGTGCCGCAGCCATTGGAAGCTCTCATCCAGTGGGGTCCATGGTGACCAGAGCTGGTATCCTGCCATTGACAGTCCTAAAAGAGAGGAATCAGAACAGAATTTCCCTTGCATGCTTTTTGGTGGTAAATTTCCATCTTTACCTCATGAGTGACTGGAGCTTACTCTCTACTTCCAATGAATGGAGTCCAGTAGGTGTCAGAGTATTAGTAATTCTATAAAGTGCTAGTGTGGAATCTAGTTAATGCTGTGTGTGCTACAATTTTATTAAACCTTATCACAAACCTCTGAAGGTAGGTTTCACCCATCTTTACAGATTAGGAAGTAGATTTGTGTGAATTTCTGAAGTGGATTAGCTGCTCCTCAGAAACCCTCCCCTCTACAGGGTGGCTGTGGGTTGGAACTGACTCGCCGCACAACAGTCCATCTTTAGGACCTCTGCTGTGAGATAACAGTTACAGACATACTGCAGTCTGAGATGGCAGAGGTTAGACACTCAGAAAGACCATGTCTTACCAAATATTGATAACAGTAATCCCATGTACTTTTGTTTACATCAATGATCCTGGATTATCAACTTCAGCAGCATCTAGCAACTTGTTAGATATGCAGATTCTTGGGTTCCAACTCAGACTTGCAGAATCCAAAAACTGCAGTGGAAGCTCCATTTGAAAGCTTCTTATGCTTCCCCTTTTGAGGAGTTGCAGCTTTCACTGTTTATTCTGAAGACCGTCTTCCTGACCCTTAAAACCTCAGTGTTTTTTGACATGGAGACCAGCTATCTTTTTGAGTCCTACCCTACCTACCCTACCTACCTACCTCAGAGAAATTTCCCAAGGCCAGTCTTTACAAAATTTTAAAGGTTTTTCTAGTTTCTTTTTTTTCCTCTCTCTCATCTAGGGGAAACTCACCTTGACGACCCCACCCCAACCGCCCTTTGAAAATAACCCTTAAAGGGCTGGGAAGATAATGACAACTCAGAAATTTTGCAAGTAGAATTTGGATTTCCCATCCAAAATGCAGGTATATATATAAATTTTTCTGAATTCATTTTTAGCTTCTATATATGTAAAGGGACTCCTCCTGGTGTGGTACTTTAGGATCAGCACTGGACTGAAAACCACAAGGTCAATGGTTCAAACCCATCAGCTGCTCCTGGGAAACCCTATACAGTGTCACTATGAGTTGGAACCAACTCGAAGGCACTTAACAACAACAGTCCATGTAAAAGGCATAGCAGATCCTCCTCCCACAAAAGGTAACTGCAGTAGATCTCATCCCATTCATTCCATGCTCACAGAATGCTTTGGAAAACTGACACCTCCACCATAGTTTATGACACAAGTTGGTTTTTTGGTTTCATGACGTTTCAAACCCAAAGTCCTGCCCCTGACGATGGCTAGTATAAAAAGGAGGCTTGTTCCTTCCCTCCACCTAGTTACGGTTTTCATAATCTGGGCAGACTGTTGTAGATGCTAATGGTCTTAAGGTGAGAAACACTGACACTCAAGGGACAACCTAAGGAAGTCTTCTGATGCTTGGTATTCAAGATCAGGGTACTCTGGTACTCATGACTCCTATAGGTTTATGTCCAAAATAAGATAATTCCAGAATCCACTTCCCTCCTCATGAGAAAATAGAACCAGAGGTAAAAGGTTTTCTCAAAGGTAAAATCTTGGACTTTTAGCAGCTCCAACAGAGGATGAGGGGGTTCCTAACACACTGGTTCACCTCCACCCTCCCACCTAGACGTTGCTGTCAGCCACTTCAGAGAGGTTGAAATTAGGAATTCTGTTCAAGCTGCTCCTGATTCTCGCTCTAGTGGTTACGAATCGGGCTGCGAACAGCAAGGTTAGCAGTTCAAAACTACCAGCTGTTCTGAGGGAGAAAGATGAGGCTTTCTGTAAAACAGATTTACAGCCTCAGAAACCCTGTACAGGCTCACTACAAGTCGAACCGACTCCACAGCACACAGCTACCACCACCAGTTCCAAGAACGAGTGCCGGTGTGGCACTGTGGGCTAATTAATGTGTCAGGCTGCAAAGTCAGTCTTTTGAACTGCAAGGTCGGTGGTTCAAGCTATGGGTCGGAATCCACTCAACAGCACTTAGGAACAACAACAGTTCCGAGAAGCCCCTGGTATTTCCCCACCTGGGAGAGGAAGAAAGCACCGAAGTGCAGCTGAAGCCCTCGTGAACGGTGGGCTCTGGGTTGCGGTCCACCGGGGCTAGAGCGGGGCGGACCTGGGTGGCTCCCCCTCCCAGCCGGAAGAAAGGCTTTGTCTCCCGGGGGCGGGGCCGGGGCCAGAGAGCTATGGCCAAGGTGAAGGTGGCGGTAGGAGCCCGAGCCCGGTCCCACCATCGGGCTGGGGGCTCACCTGCTGAACTCCGCGGACCGCACGCTCCTGAGTGGACGCCGCTGTTCCCAAGTAGCATCTTTTTCCACTGGGCGCTTAGCAACCGCCATTGTGACCCAAGATAGATCGTGGAGAAGCCCGATCCTCAGGTGGATGGGGAACTTGAGGTCCCGCTGGTGGGGAGCATCAGGGGTGAATTCACTCCCCTACCTCATTGAAAAGGTGGTTTCTGGACTCGGTCTCTAGGAGCTCAGGTTAGAGCCCCGTCCTCGGCTACTTTTCTTTCCTTTCCCTATCTTCCTGCCATACCTCTGTGTCTTTTATCTAGTCTCAACCTCAGCACCCAGCGTCCATTCCAACACCTGGAACAGAGGATGGACACACCTACTTCAGAGACTGGTTAGGAACCTGCATAAATGTTCCATAACCTGTAGTTAATAAAAGTTAGTCCCTATTAACTGCTGAAACCCTAAGACCCTGGTCACCCTTCAGATCTGGAACTGAACTCACCTCTATGGCTCAAATTTTCAACCAATCAATAGGCATACAGAGGGGACAACAACACTAGTGAGGGTCACACATCATAGAAGGATAAACTATTTGAGATCAAAAGGGCAGCATTTACCTAAGGACAAAATTTAGAATGTCAGTAGAAGGAGGATGAATAGAAATAAAGGGAGGAAGTAGAATAAGTAATAATACATTTGAAGGAATTGCAATTGAGATGAAACAAATGTATGATATGTTGAATGAAAAATTGATGATATACTCTAAACTTTCACTCAATTCACAATAAAAAGTTGATTCTGACTCATTATGTTGTTGTTACATGCCATCAAATCGGTACCAACTCATAGTGACCTTCTGAACAGCAGAATGAAACACTGCCCGATCCTGGGCCAACCTCACTACTGTTGCCACACTTGAGTCCATTGATGCTGCCACTTGGTCAATCCCATCTCACTGGGGGGTCTTCCTTTTTTTCTCTGACCCTCCACCTTATCAAACATGATATCCTTCTCCAGCGATTGGTCCCTCCTGACAATATTTCCAAAGTATGAGAGACGAAGTTTGGCCATCCTGGCCTTCAAGGAGCACTCTGGCTGCCCTTCTTCCAACATAGATCTGTTGGTTCTATGGGCAGCCTGTGGCACTTTCAATATTCTCCTCTGACACCATAACTCAAAAGCATCAATTCTTCTACAGTCTTCCTTATTTACTGTCCAACTTTGACATACATATGAGGTTATAGAATATACCATGGCTT